CACGGCTCCATGGTGTTTGAGCACCGCATTGCACGGATGCAAACCCGCATCGCCGGGGAGGGAGGGAAACAAAATCGTGTTCGAACATCTGCCGAATTGCCACTATCCGTAAGTATATTATTACATAAAAAAAGGCAATATTTATTCATTTATTTATTTATTACAAACCCAAATGTGTAGAAACAACTAAAGAAACGATGGAACATTCCTGAGGGTGATTGACACGTGGCTGCTGAGCGTGTGATCGTCAGCCATTGAACCTTTTGAAAAAGAAGGCGAAGCGTCGCATCTGAAGTACTACCGTCTTTTAAGGTCTGCTGCACGCGTACTTTGTTCTACAGGTCTTCATCGTTATATTGACTGATAAACGCTAGCAGTGGCTTACAGAAATGAGCGTCTAGCATTTCAGAATAGTCGTAGAAAAACGGCTGAGCAATTTCCTACTCCCATTTGCTCCACAGCGGAATTGGGCCACTCTCAGTCAATATAACTGCCTTTAGTCACATGTACTACAGTACTAATCACGTTATGAGCGATTACGGTAGTTTATAAACTGTACGCGCACCGCCGGCCTACTTCAAGACGCGTTAGTAGACCGTTTTAGCGGGTCGCAGTTTCTACGCCTACTGCTGACCATCGGGAGTAGGTAACTACTAGCAAAAGTAGTTGCAAAAGCACCAGGTCAGATAAGAATGGAAAAGACGTAAACAGACAGTAGCAAAGGATTGTCGCTGCCTACCGTAAGCTCATGGCTGCTACACTGAACGCCCATACTATGCGTCTTGCGGTGCCGTTTGGTAACGGTATATGATCACCCCTTTGCGGTTTGGACTTGCACGGATTGTTCACTTCAGCTGGACAATTAACTGAATGTTCGAAAAGATGGACTTGAGCCAAAATGCAGATACGGTAACAAAATGCAAATCATGTAACATCATAGAAACCTTAAGAGAAAGTTAAATGCTGCTCAAATTACCACTGCTGAAACGAAATTTTTGCAATTTACAGTTTAGACCATGATTACTGCTGTACAGCTCTGACGAGGATCAAGACGAATTGCAGCCATCAGGTGCACGCATCAAGTAACATGGGCATATGTTTTTACGCCTCGCTCTGCGTTGACCGCTTTGCAACACCATGTTGTTGGCATTATTCGCAGGCCATCAACGACTTGCTTCCTGTTTCAGAACTGACTGCACCAGAGCAGAGTCAGTTGAACTTCTTGCTCAGGCGCACTACAAATCAATAACAGATCTTCCATGACGAACTTAGAGTTTCAACCCAACCCGTCTAAATCTAAAGTGTAAATCGTACTGCTTATTCATCGCGCCAATGTCTCCTCCTCTCTACATCGTGAAATGTACCAGATCGTTGTTCGAACATCGTCCAATAGACCAGTTGTTTGTGTCGCATCAAAAAATTGTGGTACTCGGATATAAAAGGTAAAGTGTAAGAGGAAATGACAAAATCGAACCCCGCTGTTCTGGGGAGTTATTTGTAACAGGAGTCATACAAAATGTTTCGAGTAGTGAATCTGATGCCGTTGAGGTGGAATAAAAATTAAAGTTGTTTCATACCTGTGAAAAAAATCGAAACGCGGATCTGTGAGTGATAACACATGTTTGAGGTGCTTTAAAACTGCTTAAGAGAAGAATATGCCCTCTAAATGAGTGTTTGAAATCGTTAAAGAATATGGGAATTTTCTACTATGACCGCAATCATTCATTCATATGCCAAACCTGAAATAATTTTCGGGATGTACGGCCTGAGAGACAGAGTCCGTAAACTTCGGTTATCTATCGTCTAAACAAAAGGAGTGATGCTGTACACCGTTTGCGCTTCAAACCGAGAACTACGGATTTCTGGCAAAATGGCCGGAAGATACGACGAAAGGTGATTGGTGGACAGTATTAATAAGTTATTCTTGCCGACGCCCCCGGGACAGATATTTCAGAATTAGTATGGATCATGATATTAGTCTGCAAAATTTAAAAGTTAAAAAAACACTGGAAGTTCCAAGCAACGGTCTGCACACTGCCACAGTCAAACGGCTATACAACAGTTTCCCTGATTCTGTTTAGTAAGTCTCAGTTCAGTGACCAACTGCGTTGTTCCCCAATCAAAAATCGAAGTGGGATCAACGCCAAGGAGAAAACAGATCATGTGTCGAGGTAGACAAATCGTTGAAGTCCTCAGCGCGATAGAATGGCTGGTCATATATATATATATATATGCCAACGTTATGTCCTTCGTCTATATATATGTCTCTGACAAAGAACATGACGTTGGCATACGTAGAGCGGACGGGTGGGCATTTGTCCGGCAAAGTTAATGGCGCCACCCAAGTTCACGTGGATAAAGAATGGTTCAAACGCCATTGCGCGGCACATCTTACTTCACAGGATAACTTCACTAGTACAATCAAAACAAATCAAACCCTCATTAGCAAACACCTCTTGAGTAATATGACCCCATAATTTGCTGAGGTGGTGATGGCCGAGGTGGCGGCGATAGGATCGTAATTCCGCCTTCTGTAGACTGAACAGCGATGCGATGACCAAACGACGTTCGAGGAGGAAATGCTGCGAGGCGAGGCATGTTTTTACCTTCGACGATGAGGCTAATGGCGGTGATGATGATCATAATGATGACGATACTGACGCCAACAAGGATGATAGTGAGGATGATGATGCCGACGACGGCGACCACAACGAGGGTTGCATCTTGTATTGCGTAAGCAGCTATCTAGTGCTTTGAGGTGAACTGTTGTCCTATGAGGCGCTCGCCTCAGACTGAATGGCCTACTGTTCTGCCTATTCAAGAATTATCTCATTAGACGAGGATTATCCCGCTGTCGCTGTTGAGCAGCCGACAACTTAGGCTTCAGGATGAAGACGCTTACGGCGATTATGCTCCTCCTGATGCTAGCACTGATATCCATAGTGGATAGGACGAAGATATGATAACTCCGCCGTTCCGGTCCTAAGCCTGAAGGGGAAAGCGAGAGGACTGGTTAATGTGGCGAAGCTGCCGCAAAACGTAACCGCCTGCCCATTACGGCATTTCTGTCATCGAACTTGGTACTGTTTTGGTAGTCGTAATGGCTGCCAAGCGTTGGCGCGCTTTCGGCG